CCAAGTTGAACTTTTAAAAAATGAAAACTCGGTGCTAAGAAATATTCTTTTAATGTATTTTTTTTGTTAAGTAAAGTCCTATCATTGTGTACAATACGATCTGTTGAATAGAATGACCCTCCATGAGTAGATAATTAAAACAACGTAGAATGATATACTTTGGCCACAAAATGCTTAGTTCACCCTCATGTTTTGTTCACATCAATATTTTTCTGCTGATCGTGGTGGAAACTTTTACCCACCTTTTAAGATAGCCATCACATTTATGATATAACAACCAGCCTATTGCAAAATTTGTATTGATGAGAAACTCCATCTAGCCATTAACTCTGCTAGTGATGTGATTTGATTTTTATTCTTGTATTATAACATGATCTTCTCTGCTAAAGCATTTTCTCCATATATTAAACTGAAGTTTGTTTTTGTTACTAAGCTTCCCCACTTCCATTCACGAATTATCAATGTTACAAGCCCCATCAAATTTGAAAATTATAGAGACCAAGGTGACACCTATGTGTGGTTGATGGTTCTTCATTACTGATGCAAGTAGAAGACACATCAAATCTGCCACTTTATAAGCTCACTAGAACGTCCCCACCACAATATCAAGCATCCGTGGACCTTTAAGGTTTCCAAACATGCACTTTATGCTTTCTTTTTTATGGTGGTTGTGTAAAACTCTTTCTGATTGAGCTCTGTGTTACCCATGTTGATATGTTTGTAATTTCCTTCATTATTTTGCATCTCTACATGTCTTGATGGTTGACCTTACCGCTAAAACCATCATCGAATTCAGCATCATTGTCTAAGACTCTTCCTATCAAAATCATATCGTTTAAGGAACACAAATCTTCACATGATATTTGAAATAGTTTTTTTACAACTGGTTATGAACCTGATGGAAAACTCTCTTAAGCCATTATGTTACCTGCGTACTTCTATCTTAAAGCCGTACCTGTACCCAAGCTCCTTGGACCTCCTTGCATATATGCATACATTTATTCGGGCATGTATCAATTAAACAATACATGTTTTAATTTAGAACACGTGTCATACTTTTCTTGGACGTAAATCCTACACATCCATTGCACTTACGCATCTACTTGTTGAAACTTGTTGGGTTCCAAACTATGATTTTAATGGTTGTTTGGGCTTCTAGTTCAAAAAACGAGCGTTTTTACAATTTATAATCCACATAATAAAAGAAACATAAAAAAGTTATTGAAATTTTAATTCTCATAACACGTAAAAAAATATTGATCTCAAATAAACTATTAATTTTAATTAATATATGTGTATATAAATATTCATAAAGTTGTGTCCCCGTACCCTACCTTTTACAAATTTTGTGTCGTACCCGTGCCTGTACATATGCAACATAGGGTGCCAATAACCTTGCCAATGAAATATGGACACAAAATGATTTTCTATAATTCTTAAACACTGGATTGTGCCTACCAAATTCCCCTCGATTGGCTGCAGAATTTCAGTTCCCTCTAGCACAAAGAAAGCGAAGAGCCAAACAGAACACATGCCAAGATCTTGCTGCTAAAAAGTCAGGCAATTAATATCACCTTCCCATGCTACAAGCCGACAAGTGCCACACTGTAGCACAGAGGTCAAGACCGTTTTTTATAGATATAACAGCTAGGTCTTGACTACTGCGTATTGGAGGCTACTGCCTATTCTCCTAATGAAAAGATTACAAATGCTAAGCATTCAGATGGAATCATTATTTCATTTTAAAGTACATATTTCATTACTGGTGTTATTTTCCGACTTTAGCAATATCATCATCACTTTTTCTTATTTTTCGTTTGTATGCCAATTTCCATGTGAATGAGACCAATAGCTTGGTAAGTCATCAGAATACTTTCTTGTTTATTCGTAGTACTACTTTCAGAAGACTCAGTTGCATGTGCTCTTCTTCATATATGGCTTACAAAATTATGCTTATTTGTGCTAGCTAAGTTCTTAACTCTTGTGTATGGTTCTCTCTTTCTGTGTAGTCATTTTATTACAATTTAAATATCATGTGCGTCTAGTTTAGTAGTTGCTTCTTGTATGGCACTCATTAACTTTGATAGTTTCTATTTAGAATGTAAGACCTTCCTATGATCTGCATTTTTCTTTGGATTTCTCTTTTAGAGATGCTGGTTGCTTGAAAGATCGCATGAGGAAAAGGGAAATCAAGAGTGAATATTCTCCAAAGAAAGTTAAGTCAGATGGAAAATCTCAATTATTGTCATCAAGGCGCCTAGCAAATTCTTCGGGTTTAGACAATTCTACAAGTTGTTTGACAAAAGTAGCACAGAGCAATGACAATATGTTAGGAAATGCCCCACCAATGAAAGCTAGATCTCTAGATATCATGAGTATAGTTCAGGAAGTTGACCATGTACCTAATGTTTTGGATAGATCTACAGGGAGAAAAGAGAATGCTTCTGGTCCAAGAGTGAAAAAGATCATGCGTAGAGTTGGAGAGAAAGAAGAATCATCCACTCTTGTTCAACAACTGAGGAAAGAAATAAGAGAGGCTGCTCTGGATAAAACATCTAATCACAATGACAATGTTAATGACTTTGATCTGAAACTTCTAACAGCTTTCAGGGCAGCCATTGTTAAACCTAGAGATGAACTGGTTAATAAACATAGTCCGGTTGATAGAACTTTGAAGAAATCTTTGCTACAGAAAGGGAAGACACGTGAAAACTTGACCAAGAAGATATATGCAACATCAACTGGAAGGCGAAAGCGTGCCTGGGATAGGGAGTGGGAGGTTGAATTCTGGAAGCATCGGTGTACAAGAACCAAGACGGAAAAGGTTGAGACACTACATTCTGTTCTATCACTTTTAAAGAAAGCTACAAATTCTTGTTCAAACAACTCAACAACTAATGAAGGGCCTGAAGGGGAGACAAACTCCATTCTCTCTAGAGTATATCTAGCTGACACATCGCTTTTCCCAAGAAAAGATGATATCAAACCTCTCTCTGTTCTTGCGGGATCTTGTCAAACCGTAAATGAGTGTAATACAGAAAAAAATTCATCTGGCATTTCCAGAGCCTTACCTCAGGTTAAAGCTGCTTCATCTGAAAACACAGGAAAAACGCCAATTACTATGAGCCTCACTGCTGAAACTTCTGGTAAGAAAGAGAACCGCCTTTCTGATTCAAGTGTCTCCACAGTGAGAGTACAAAATTCATCGAAGGAAATAACCAATCAATCTGGTTCTTCAAAGTTTGACAAAAAGAAATGGGCTCTGCAGGTTCTTGCTCGAAAAAATGCTTCAATTAGTTCGAGTGAGAGTAAAGAGAAAGATGGAGATAAATCTGCTCTCAAGGGGAACTATCCTTTACTAGTATGTTATAATAGCTTGTAAGCTATTCCATTATGTAAAGTTTCTTGTTTCTTCTTGAATTCCTATAACATATTTGGAGCTTTTGTAGGCACAACTCCCCATAGATATGAGACCAGTGCCAGCACCTAGTAACCATAACAAAGTTACTCTGTCTGTAAGGCAGGTATGTACAGTAAATTAGTGTTTTTCTTATTTTTATTTGTGACTAATCTCGGAAACTAAATCTTGTATCTTTTAATTGATAAAAAATTTCTGCTGGTCACAACTCACAACTGTCCATGTATCTTCTCTAGCACATAAAGCCAATGCTGCAATCTCGGTATGGGAGCAGCATATAAACAACTGATGGATTGACGCCAACTTAGTGGAACTGAATAAACTGGAATGTTACATGTACTTAATCGGGTCATGATTAGATGAGGGACCTGTTAAACCAACTTATATTGCTTTCCTTGTGTGTATAAGACCTTAAATTTTGAAATTCCGTTGAACAACTAACTTCCAGACTTAACACAAGACTGGGAGCTAAGTTCCAAAACTGTTTAGAGGACTTAACATCTGTCCAGGCTGTATATTTCAACTCCATTCAGCAGTCAATTCCTGGTAGAAATACAGGAATAGAATAAGAATGAACACAAGAATATGATTCTTAGCAAACTGTTTACGGGATCATGCAACAATGGGAGAGAATATTAACCGAAATACACAATTTTGAATAAAATGGCCTCAATTGATATTAGCAAAAAGAAATCAGGGTAAAAGATTTTGCAATAGACCCTAGCAGGCTAGCATGCATTGCCTATGCTAAGGAACATCAATTGATCTAATCAGGTGTATTGATAACAACTAATTGAGTTACATTTGAAAACAAATGGTACAGAGACAGAAGAACAAAAAGTTAACGATGATTTCGAGTGAACAAGGAGAACTATGAGATAAAGAACATATGAGGGAGCGATAAAGAATAGAGATCACGAGGGAACTTGAGTTGCAATGGATGTTGCGAAATTGTGAGGAAGGGATGGACACTTATAGGTGGGGAAGTTAAGACGTGATAGAGGGAGAAGACTCAACGAGCTTTCCTTTTAAGAGTTGCTGCTTATGAGGATAAACAGAAGGTAAAGGGAAAAAAGGGTTCCACTTCTTGGAGATGAAACTCGTAGCTTCGTTGGAGATTACACGTGAAATACGTACTTGGTTGTTTCTCTGTACTAGTTGAATACTTTCAGCTTCTTAATAGGAATTTTATCATTGAGAGATTTGAGGGGCGTTTCATGAAACGGGTATTAGGAATCAAGTGATTAGATGATCATCCGCTGATGCAATTTGCATCCTGTCCCTAGATATGAAGTGTTATGGTGCTTGCACTCACATAAATATACTAATGTTAAACATCTTTGAGTTGTCAATTTCAGCACATGTTACATTATGAGCACAGGCTTACGACTGATGATTTTATCTTCAATTTGTGTATATTATATGTCTGATAAAACCTGCCAGTTTACATCTTTACATTCCACAATTTTATTTTGTAACCCTATGTTGTCAGGCAATTACTGATGGGATTTTCGAAGCTATAGAATGACCCATATCAGATATATGGTTATAATTTCATGTTCAATCCTTCTTAGGAGAAGTTAAATAGGAAATCATTGCCATCTTAGTCTTATTTACAATATTCTGTTATATTCATTGCTCAGTAGACAGCAGCAACAGAGCCCTTATCCCAAAATTTTGAGGACGCCTGCATGAGTCATATTCTTCCTTTTAGTCCTTTTAAGGAATATCTCCTCAATTAAGTTAACCACTACCATTATTTGCAAATAATTAATTAATTCTGCAGCCTGTCACCTGAATCTATGTTTTCTCCCTGCCAGGCACAACTCTACCGTATTACTGAGCATTACTTGAGGAAAACCAACCTACCTATTATGCGTAAAACTGCTGCTACAGAATTGGCTGTTGCTGATGCAGTTAACATAGAGAAAGGAATTTTTGAAAGGTCAAATAGCAAGCTGGTCTATATTAATCTTTGCTCACAGGCTTTATCACAACGATCTAACAAACCACCATCAGCTGAAGTTAATACTTCTAATTCTTCAAGACCAACTGCAAATGTTATCGATCAGATAGCTGATGAAACATCCAGCTTTTCAGTTGGAGAACAGAGCAAAGTAGAAGAAGCATTGAGACTGGCTGGACTTACTGATTCTCCTCCAAACAGTCCTAAGCCTACAGTAGATCTAAATGTTGAAGATAATATTAATGGAAGTGCCAGAGAGCAAGGACTTGAGAATGTTCTCGATATGGATTCCCACGCAGAATTGGATATATATGGAGACTTCGAGTACGATCTAGAAGATGAAGGTTATGAAGTGTCAAAGTTGCTACAGCAACAAGATAGAGATCCCAAGTTGAAAGTTGTCCTTTCAACTCTTCAGGATGATAAACCTCAGAATTCTGATACCCAAGGGTTACCTGATGACAAAGACAAATTTAAGGTTGAAGTAGATGATAATGCAGAAAATGTAACAGAGGAGATTAAGATAGTTAGCCCCTCTTTGATAAAGCCATCTGGAGGGGAGATGTTTGAAGAGCCATCTTTAACAGAGTATGAGGAGTTGTATGGGCTAGAATTAGATAACAAAATGTTTCAGAATAAAACATCTGATACACTTACAGGAGAATTGAACAAATCTTTGGAGATGGTTGCAGCAGGCAAAATCATAGTTTCTTCTCAGAGCGAAAAGCATCTGTCAGAGGATGGTACTGCTGCAGCTTCTGAGTTTGAGAATGAAGGTCATGCGGAGAGTAGCTTTGATAATGGTAGGGTACATTCAAATCATGAATCTTTTGGTGGTGGAAACCCATTAGCTCATTCTCTGACAGACAAGAAAGACCCGATGGAGAGGAAAATGAAAGACGAGTCTAATGAAGTTCCCGCTTCCAGTAGTTCCATTTCCAAGAAGGTACATAGGCCTTCTGATATTTTGATCTTCTTTATCTCCCTTTTTCTTTAAATTCTTATGAACACAACAAACTGCATTTTCCTCCTCCATTCCAAATAGGTCTTTGTAATGCTGTGGAGGAAACCCATTTAATTTTTGTGTTTCATTCTTAAGACTTTCAAGGATCGTTATAATCTTCATGCAATTTCCATTGAAGCTGATGCGCCTTTTCCCTGCTCAGTTGGCGAACTTGTCATGAAATGTCTAACTGCAACATGAAACCTTCCAATGTTAGATCTTCAGGTTGAAATTAGGAGGAAAGGTTTTTAGTTGAATTGACATAATGCTTTTTTTGTATAGTTTTCAGGAATATTTATAGGAAACTATCATGTTGGAAAAGGTCGTTCTTTTTCATCTTACTGAAAGCTTTAGCCTTAAGGTAGTGAAACGAAAGAGCGTGCATGTTTCTTTCTCTTCGATATTCTTCGTTTCTGTCACTTTTCTGTAAACAAACTCAACCTAAATTCCATTGGTGTAAGATTACAGTAAATCTCTTGTTTGCTGATTTAAGTAGTTGATGCCCGTAATGTTATATAACCCAGGGGGTTATTTGCTCTTTGATGCCCGCAAAGTTTCACTCTATTTTAACTTTGCTATGCCCAAAGTTCTCAAATGATGTTAATTTGACAATTTAATATGCCAAAATCTTAACTCTTTTCCTCACTTTTTCCAAACTCAAAGAACTAAAATTTGATAACAAGACTATTTTCTCATCAACTTTTATACATTAATGTAGTTGGAACAGTTAATTTTTATTTTTTGTACCTCAGAGTATCAAATTGTCAAAATAGAACTTTAGGTTTAGTAAAAAATTCGGAGTATTCAAGCGCAAACAACCCCTCCATATACAAATTATGATATTTGTAAGTTTTAACTGGAAAGTGCTTTGTCTTATATTCCTTAACTTCATGACATAACCACACTGCATTTCAGGTAGAAGCCTATGTTAAAGAACACATCAGGCCACTGTGCAAAAGTGGAGTGATAACAGTGGATCAATACCGGTGGGCTGTTGGAAAGACAACTGATAAAGTCATGAAATTCCATCACAAGGCCAAGAATGCTAATTTTCTAATTAAAGAAGGGGAAAAGGTGAAGAAGCTTGCTGAGCAGTATGTTGAGGCTGCTCAACAAAAAGAAAGTTGATATCTTTGTTCATCTTTTTGAGAATCTTTCGGATTTCAACATGCTGTATTCATGTACCTCTTAGGATGTGAAATTCTTTGTAGGGTAATGCTAATTTTCACACCAAAGAAGGCGAAGAGAAGCATCAGCCAAGTCCGATAATGTTGTACATATCAAAACCGAGCATGGAATCTGAAAATATTTCTGTGTAAGGTGATTCCTGAAGAGTTTCAGTTGCTTAAATTTCTTGTATACAGAGTAAAGAACCGAATTCTGATTAGCTATGAGCTGTATGTTGCTGGTTCAGGTTCTTAGCAAAAGCTAGTGATGGCTTGCAGATTCGAAGACTTCTTGTTTGTAAAATTGAATGAAGCAAGGCTTTATTCTGGAAAAGAGTATTTTGTCATGAAGTTCTTTTATCTCAAGCTTATGGTGGATAATTGTGACAATGGCCATTTCTTGTTGTAGAGTCTGACACTGTGGCCAGGCATGGGAGTACCTACATCACAACGTCGTCGCCCGTGTCAGACTTACAAATCAATCGAGAGCTATAGGAGTACTCGTGTGTCAATGATTTTTGTTCTGGTAGCAAGCTTATCATCTGCAAATTCACATTCCCTCTCTCTCCCCCTCTCTAAAATTAATGAAAGGGCTTGAGCATCTACGATAAAGTGAAGAGTTTTTCCTATAGTAGTACCTTAAATCTTCACATTTTGAAACTAGTTCCTCAAATCATTGATATTGCTATCAGATCTGATTGATTCTTAAGTTATTTTAAAACTAGTCTCTCAAATTAATGAAATAGCTATTAGATTTCCCAATCCTTAAGTTACTTTCAAATTAGTTCCTCTGATCATGGATAAAAGTAGCAACTGGAAGGATTTATAAAGGAAAATGTATCGTTTGTAGACTATCAGATTGCTGAAATCTCATTTTTCGTTTCAAATTAATCTCTTAAAATTGCTAGAAGATTATCTACATTCATGCGATGGAGACCCGGAAAAGTTCATGATGTCAAATTAAAATAAAGCTCCTATTAATGTGTTTTTGGAAATCCATTAGCGTATGCTTCTTGAATCTACATTTGGTGTAACAAGTGTTACTTTTTTTAACCAAATGTATGGTCAGCCAAGGCAATCACGCCCTTGAAAAGAGCATGTGAGAGAGAGCCCACCTGGGTTCTTATTCTGTTAATTTTTTTCCCAATAAAACAACCCGCGCAAATTACAAAGGTTTTTTTAGATATTGGTCCCTTAATCATCACTCTTTTGACAATAGTCCCCCAAATTGCATTAATATATGGATATTAGTACCTCTATTAGTTTGACCATTCAAAACCCTCGATCTTGACTGGGTTTAGACTATGGATGGTTGATTACCAAACCCCCCTGTTATAGGCTGCAAAATAGTTAATCTTTCTTGGGGAGCCGACAATATCCCGTTCCACGCGAGATCAGACATGATCAGAGCCCAGACAACTCAAACCGCTCCTGCGGCCGACTCTATAGGCCGACAACTTACATGGCCGACCCAAGAGGTGATACTTATCGACCTATTCTCCAGGTCGAGCCCTCAAGACTTCCCACTTGGCCCGCTATATCAGCCTTCAACTTGTGTAGCCAACTAAAAAGGTGGTACTTCTCGCCCTTCTCGTAAGGAGTCGACCCTTCTTGACGGGCAGCTCGAGTTGTCCCTTCTTGCGAGGCCGAGTCGAAAGGCGGTCATCCTCGAGCTCCCCGCCAATAGCGAGTCATCATCACATTAAATGCACGGTCAGAAATCATCATTGCTCTAGCCCCAAAAGTCTTTATGACTCATCAAACCTAATCAACACCAATTAGTTGCTGTCACTTTGCACTAACCACCTGGATGACCCATGTCGCCCACATCTAACACCTGTCAACTGTCTGCTGGGTCAGCTACCTGCCTGGACTTGGCTCAAGTTCTTTAATTGCCCCTCTGAACCTACTATAAATAGAGGGACTATTTGCAGTATATATATGTATGCAATTTCTACACACTTAGACTGAAAACTTATTCAGTTCATTGGTTTCTTCTCCACTCAAGCTCAAATACTGACTTGATCATCGGAGGAACAACCGGAGAATCTAACTCGACAGTGATCTACAGAGCCAGTCATTTGAAGGAGTTTGAGGACCTTAACTCTACTTTAATCCACAACTAAACCCCTGTAAGATAGCTGACATCAACAGTTTAGCGCCCATCGTGGAGCCCTGTCATTCTTCTTCATACAAGATGTCTGGTTCTAAGCGTCCTGGTCGAACTTTTGACTCTCCCTAAAGAATCCCTTGCGGGCTATGTCACTCAGGCCTAGTTGGAAAAATCTATGCGGAGGATCTCTTAATCTTTCCAGCAACAGTTTGATGCGGTCACCAATGAACTCCTCATCCGAATTCCTTTGCAACAACCCTCGCCATCATTCATTCCTCTACGACTGGTGAATCAGCCATTCGTTCCCCTATAGCCTAGGCATGCAGCCCAGGCTGGCAGTGAGAAGACTATGTCGAGCACGTCTCTACCCCCACCTCGCCAGCAAACTCATTTTGCAGCCCTTCGTCGGCAACATCAGCAGTATATGGAAGCAACAAGGGGGAGCCCTAGCTATGGTCACGACGATCGAGAGCATCCCACAGGGGCAAAATCATGCGACCCTCGGCTTCCTCATACCGCTCCTGGCCCCTTGACCACTAATCTTGTGTCTAGTTACGACTGCACCTTTTAGCCAATTGTTGAAGTCATTGGGGGGAACACTTCCCTCGCTGATAGCATCATAAATACTATTTGTGACAAATTCAGGATACCTCACATAGAGAAGTACAAATATGAAGGAGATCCAGCCGAGCATGCTCAGAATTATTATGATATGATGAACATGCTATAGGGGCCAGAGACGATCATTTGTAGGTATTTTCCTATCACTTTGTTAGGAAGCGCTAAGTTTCGGTGGAACTCCTTGCCTAAAAAGTCCACCAACAGGTTTGAGCAGCTCAGCCAGAAATTTGTGCACTACTTGCTGGTCGACACCAAGCCGAAGCTACCTCCCCATGTCTTGCTCCAGATGAGACAAAAACCCTGAGAAAGCCTCAGGATTTACTTCAAAAGGTTTTAGGTCAAAAGATTGGAAGTCGATAATCCTGACTGCACGGTCACGATGTGTAATGACCATAAATTTTCGATACTAGTTTAATTAATTTTTCGGTATTTTAAAATATTAAATTATTATTTTTAAAAAAGTGATTATAGTTTATCGATTTTCTAAAAAAAAATATGATTTAAAAATCCGGTTTTATATGGGAGATGAGAATGAGAGAGAGGGGATTAAGAGGAGAGAAAAAAATATTATATAGGAAATGGATTAGGGTTAAGGAGAAATTTTTAAGGATAATTAGGGAGGAAAATAAGGATAAAAATTAGGGAGAACATTAAGGAGAAAAATCAATATAAAATAATTAATAACAATAATAGTAATAATAACAATAATAAAGGATTTAAATATTAATTTAAAAAGGTCTTACTGTAACAATTAAATTTATAATTAACAAAACTATATAAAATCGGATTTTTAAATCATAGAAAATTCTAGAAAGTCGAGAAAATATAATCACTCTTTTAAAAATAATATTTTAATATTTTAAAATACTAAAAAATTATTTAAACTAGTATCAAAAATTTATGGTCATTACATTCTACACCCCTTAAAACAAATTCTATCATCGGAATTAAAATAAAGGTGATGTACAAAGAAAATAAGGACACAATATAGAACGAGAGACTCAATTCAACTCATATAGAGAAAGATTCAAATTAAATTGCATGTCCTTAAGCAAAGAGGAAAGTAATACAAGAACGATACAATATAAGATACAAGACATGACAGCTAAGATTCAGAAAACAGATGAGGGTATCGCTGTCGCATCTCAGACTCAGTTTCCCAAGTCGACTCACCAGGAGAATTTGGGTGCCACATCACACGAACAAGCGGAACGGTCTTGTTCCGGAGAGTCTTCTCCCTTCGGTCCAAACTCGCCACAAGCTGCTTCTCGTATGTCAAATCAGGTTGCACCTCAATTTCCGAGAAATCTACAACATGACTCAGGTCTCCGACATATCTCCGTAACTGAGAAATGTGGAATATGTCATGCACTCCGGCTAATGCAGGTAGTAATGCAAGTCGATACGCCACTTCTCCAACTCTCTCTAGTACATCAAAAGGTCCCACATATCACAGACTCAACTTCCCCCACTTTCCAAAGCGAATGGTGTCTCGGTTGGGGGAAATCTTCAGGAATACATGATCACCTGGCTGAAACTCCAAGTGTCGACGCTTCGCATCCGCCTAATGCTTGAACCGGTCTTGCGCTATGCGAAGTTGTTCCCGAATAATCCTGACAGCATCAACTGACTTGGCAATCAATTCGGTCCCAAAAATCTCTCGCTCACCAATGTCGTCCCAACTCAAAGGAGAGCGACACTTCCTCCCGTACAATGCCGCGAAAGGAGTCATTCCAATGCTAGCCTAAAAACTGTTGTTGTATGCAAACTCCACCAAATACAGGTGATCTTCCCATGATCTGTGAAAGTTGAGCATATAAGCTCTAAGCATATCCTCCAAAATCTGAATCGTCCTTTCTGATTGTCTATCGGTCTGAGAGTGATAAGTCGTGCTAAAACTGAGATTGGTCCCAAGACTCGCCTGCAAACTCTTCCAGAACTCAGAAGTAAATCGGGTATTGTGGTCCGAGGCGATGTACACTGGAACCCCGTGTAATTGTATGATCTCCTGCAATACTAGAGATTTACTAACATTTTGGGAAAGAGGGACTCATTGATATATATAGAGATTGATATTTTACCTCCATGTATCTCTGAGCAAGATGTTCTATCGACTGTCCCACTCGGAATGGAATAAAGTGAGCTGATTTGGTTAATCGATCTACGATCACCCAAACAACATCGTTCTGTCTAGTGCTCCGAGGTAAGCCAGTAGCGAAGTCCATGATGACGTGTTGCCACTTCCACACCGGAATAGGCAACGGCTGCAGTAGTCCTGCGATGCACTGATACTCTGCTTTCACCTATTGACAGACAAGGTACTTCGCCACACTACGAGCAACGTCTCTCTTCATACCACGCCACCAAAAGTTCAGCTTCAGGTCCTTGTACATCTTTGTGCCTCCAGGGTGAATAGAATACTGTGAGCTGTGAGCTTCCCGTAATAATTCTTCCTAAATATCTCCTTTTGGCACACAGATACGACCCCCAAATCGTAGGGACCCATCCTCGTGGATAACAAATTCCGGCCGAAGACCAGCTGTTAATAATAAGGACTTAAATATTAATTTAAAAAGGTTTTACCGTAACAATTAAATTTA